AAATGGTGTTAACCGAAAGCATAACTGTAAAGACCTTTGGTTTGGAACACATTTGAGTCGAAGTACTGACGCCGCGTTTGAGAGAGACCCGTAGAACCTCTATAATTGACACGAAAACAACTGTAGAAGTGTATTTTGAAAATACATCTCCTAAATCCATTTTTTTTTTTTTTTTTTTTTTTTTTTTAAATTAATACATTCGTAACGACTCTTTCAGTCAACATCGAGGGCGCGCGCGAATGACGAGAGAAGGAGGAGGAGGGGATGTATATTATATTATATCAAATCTCGCGAGGGAGTGCAGAGTCGGAGAAACAGCAGCAGCGACGAGCATCCACGTGGGGAAGTAGGGGCAGGGGAGAGGGGGTTCATCATCAAGTTTAAATCGCCGATTCGGATGCAATTTAGCGCGCCCGAAGGAGGAGGACGGACTCCGGGTGATGCGCTCGGGGGGCCGCGGGGAGAGAGCAATTAGAGAAAGATATTCCTCCGCGTGTGCGCGTATACATGTATATGCATTCCAATTTAAATCAAGAGGGAGAAAGAAAGACGCGACGTCGGAGAGTTGCAGGGGCCGTTTTTCTGTGCGCGGCCAAAGAGAGTCGCTTTCCGCGGCCGAGACTGATGCTCGCACTGACACTCCGCGACCCGCCCACAAAAGTAATTTCGCGAGTGGGAACGCAGCCGCCCCTCCCACCGAGGCATACTTTGGTCCTGGGCATCATCACTGCAATTCTTTCTTTCCATCCACCATCCCCCTACCGAGACAGACTTGCACCAAGTGTGTATACAATATACACCGTCCGCGGATGCAGGTATATATAATACATGTTGCATGGGAACTATGTGACTTGGGATGATGCGTCAAATTTGTTGTGTCTCGCTTGACTGCAGTAATGACAAGTTTTACTTCACCGGGTGAACTGCACTAATCCGGTCATATGTCTATCTATACTCGGATCGAGTGTCTCTGCGAAGAAAAAAATAGTAATAACCCAATGTTTTATTTGCCTCGTCGACCCGAATCCAATTACAAAACGCATAATGTATAAATCACATCTGTACAGGTGCATCCATACTATGTATATATATACCCATGCAATTCTTTCTCTCTCGATTATCCTTCCTCGGCTCATTAACATCCCGTCGTTTTGTTCCCATGCTCACAATAATAAAAATAACAACAACAATCAGCACCACCAGTTTCGGACGGGGGTAGGTATATATAGGTACAAAAATAAGGCACGCGCCAGCAGAGCATCGGTATTTGCACAAGCTCTGCACGCCCACCCCCTTCTCCACTGGTATATATAAATCACACTTTCAATTCGGGCCCCCCTCCTCTTGGACACCCAAGACAAATGATTTCATTAATTCTCGTGAGTTATTATATCGCGCGACCGAGGGCTTATTAGGGGCTATACATTCGGTGCTTTGTTTGTCTTTAATTTGCGATTTTCGATTGCGACGATCGCTTTGACTTTTCCGGATTACTCGCTCGGTTGAGTTTTTTTTTTTTTTTTTTTTTTTTTTTTTTTTTTTTTTTTTTTTTTTTTTNCTGTTAATTTTTTTTTTTTTTTTTTTTGCTTCCAATGATTAAGTGGAAAAACTTTGGAGTGACAGAAACAGTGGTGTACGAAATATGCCCGGATTGAGGAAAAGAAAGGCTATGATAAAAACGTTGTACACAATTACAATTGACGTTCTTTTTTTTTTTTTTTTTTTTTTTTTTTTTTTATGCCCTCGTATCCCGTAGTAATCATTGGCGCTCTTGCTATAGATGGACTTGGTGGATTGTACAATGTTAATTGAATTTGGTCTGCATGAAGATTTGAATGGGACCATTTGTGGTGTTTTTTTTTTTTTTAAGACTTCGGTCATCAAAGTAAAATTTTCTGATGAACATCTATTTTTGTACGGATTTAACAAGAGAACGGTTCATTATTTACAAAACACTTTTGAATTTGCCGATTGTATACTTGTGATAGAAGAAAAATGGAAAAAACAGACTGAAACACGCGTTGCTTCTCGACTGAACTGTTATTCAAATTTTTTTTCCTCCCAAACATTATTCTTTAAAATTTCATACACGATACAATGTTCGAATTTTTTTTTTGAAACCTTGGTATTTCTGGGTAAACAAAATAGTTTTCTTAAACCCATCACAGTCATGTACCACAAGATTAGCTACTTATATTTTACTTTAACTCGACACTTTACTGGTAAGCCAAGTTGTGCACTTGACTGGGGATCGGACACCGAGACATCCTTAATGCATCGAGTGGACGTATTTTAATTTTAATTCGCAGCAACGGCGCCAACCATTGGAAATCATTGTACACCCATCGGACGCGATATTATAAATTACAATATTCACGCGTCGTTTCGATAAACTCGAGGACGCGAAGACACGTATCCTACGCATTCGGCGTTAAATGCAAGGAACGAAGGAACCAGTTTTAATTAATATACCCAGCTGTCGATGCAACACAAGTGAAATCGACTCGAAAACTCGAAACCGCTCTCTGCGAGCCATCAATTAAATTTCACGCGGCAATGCGCACAAATAATAATTCCGACTCTTGTACCTGTACATATATAATATGCATTCCTACTCGTGCGCGCTGTTTCGTCAAATGTTAGAAAACGTGCTCACGCATCGGAATCGATTAAAGCTCAATGAGATATATCTTTTCATTCGCACCAAATAGCGATCGATCAACATATACAAGTGCTCAAATGGTCTACTACAATTTTGTTGTTTTTTTTTTTCCCTTGCAATTGCAGCTTGGAACAGAGGTTCATTGGCGACGCGAGAGAGTTTTCTCTCGCTTTTGCCGTTTGCCTTCGAACTCGACAAGTGCTGGGGGTACCAACGCGTGTTTGGTAGGCGAAAAAAATCGTTTTATTTATTTTTTAAAAATTATTAATTTTCTGGCAAGTAATACTAGTATTTTCATATATATAGAAGTACAGTCTGATGGTAATTAAACGCAAGTCTTCCAAAGCTGCCCAGGACTCATGGGATCACCTATAATAAATACGGGACAATACGGAAAATGCAAGATTTCAGTTTAGCTACGTAGCCAAAGCCGACGAAGAGCCGTTTGATGTTGCAATACCCAAGGGATTGTAGGGGGTGCCACGAGGAGATCAGACAAAGAGAGAAAAAAAGAGCCTACGATACAATAAATGCCCTCTTATATCGTAGGATCTTACCATTTGAACGCGGACAGGAGGCTGTATTCACGAAAGTTTAAATCAATTATTGTTTAGATTGTTGCTTTACTATACCACATAGTGAATGCGGATACTTTTTGTTTGTTGGTATACTATTAAACACTACCAAAGATTATCGAATTGACGTGTATATACACAAACGAGATGAATAATCCAACCAGGAACAAAAATTTTCAGGCAATAAAATCCTTTCGTTTTGTTTTTTAATCACCGATGGTCCAACTAGGTACACCATTTTCCCTCAAGTATACCCCACAAACCCAATTTTGCCATCTATTCAAGGAAATCTACTTTTCGGAGGTGAAAATTCCCAAGTCAACAAACTCGCATCATATATTATAGCATTGAACCTTCAATCGTACGAACCCAAGTGGTAAACACGACCCGAGTGTATATTGTTTTCTTCGCAAATTTCCAAACCAGCTCAGTCGCGCTCGCACAGTGAACCCAAGCGAGCGTCAAAATCCCATGTCCCACCACCGCAGAGCCAACAAAGCCCGCAAACGCGGACCCCGAAGACCCACTCGAGTGGTGTCGCTGCCCCAGCCGGTCGTCCTCAGCTACGACATCCTGAGGCGGGTGTTCGAGTACCTGAGCCACGCCGATCTCCAGAGAGCGAGTCGCGTCCACGGGTGAGTTTTTTTTTTTTGTTTTCCTTACACAACTCCGATGTATGTGCATATAACGGGAGGTAACGAGTAAAGGCGCGTTTGAAGCTTGTGGAGGTCGATCGCCAGCGACGTGGCCAGATCGAGGAGAGCTCCCGAGAGGATCGTCGGCGTCGTCGACGACGCGAGCTCTAACTTTTGCCTCGGCGAGCACCTCAAACTCAAGCCGAGCTTCGTCCTGGTCTGCGAGCGGTACGAGTCGGATGACGTCAAGCGAGGTATGCTTTTTTTTTTTATTACCACGTGCTTGAAGACGATTTCTCTCTTGGGGGGAGTAATTAATCGGTGCTGGGTTCCGCAAGGGGGCTGCTACTGCCGGAGCGTCGTTCCGTTCGGGTGTCGGATAGTGGCGGTGCGAGCGACCGGCCTCGCTTGCGAGGAGGTCTACCTGGAGAGGCCCCGAGGGTTGTTCGTGTGCACCTCGTTGCCGGAAATCCCAGGGTTGAGGCGGCGGGTGCTGGTGTTCAAGGCGACGACCTACGATTCCGTGGTGCTCAGGAAGAGGCAGATCGCCCACTTGGCGAGGGTACTGGCAGGGAACGGCGACGCTGGGCCGCGGTGTGTTTTCATGTTTGCGAACGACAGGGGCTACCGAGTGGTGAGGAAGTACGACGTGCTGAGACAATTGAGGCACAGGTATACGCTTTACAGGTGTATATCTATTGTCGGTCCAAAAGTGTCGTTTGGAGCGGGTGGTTGAAATTTTCTTTTTTTTTTTTTGTTTTTTTTTTTTATATAAGATCCATCGGGTACCCTTATGTGGTTTAGTTTTTTTAATGAAAGTTCAGGTACTGTTTTTACGCAAGTTATGTTTTTACGCATACTCAGGGTACCCATAAAAGAATCTTTCAATTTTCTATGATATTTTACGACGATTTGAATTGAATTTTTTTTTGTTAAAAGAAATAATCAAATTTCGTAAAGTTAACTTTTATTTTTATTGTACAAAATTTGAAGTTTTTTTATGTAAACTACATCAAATTTTCATTTAGTAATTTAAACCACGCGCTTCAAAGTATTATTTATACTTGAACACACTAAGATATAAATGCTTGAGGTAAAACTACCAATTTACGGAACGTGAAAATATACCTGCTATGTTACAACTAAAATCACCAAAAAATTGTTTTTTAAGCAATTAACAATTTTTAAAAATATTTTAAAACTAAAAAGGCTCGATCATTACATTTAATTCAAAGAAAAATAAGTTCCTCTGTACAGTGGTTTCATGATTGGGACATAATCAAACACAACCTAATTTATTTAGTGGTCTATATAATGAAACAAACTTTTTAAACGAAATTTAATACTGTTACAATGAACTAATTGACGTAAAATTAAATTGTAAGAAAAGAAAATCGTGTCATTTGAGTCAAGTATTTCTAGCAACTTAAATTTATTACACAAAAATTACTTCATGGTGGGAGTTCTATAATAGGGACATAAATTATGAAACACTGGGACAAGCCTTTTGGTGCTGTTTCGTAATATGGGCATATTAATTGTTTCAATTTTATGAGAAAAATCAGAAGATTTTGGATAAAAATAATATTAATAATAATAATAACAATAGATTAGAAAAAGTTATTTAGCATTAAAAAATATGCCCACTTCTTTGGACAATAGAAGAAAAAAAAATGCGAAAAGCTGTTCCATAATTGATACTTTCACCTAACTTCGCCCAAAGAAAAACATTCGCGAGTTGCTTTTATAGTTACAAGCCGGGTCAGCTCGCCCTGATCGGCGGCCAATGTGAGGACGTCAAGACCTGCCGCGCCCTCTCCGAGTCCTGCTTGCAAAAGGAGCTCGTCTGGATGGCTGTCGTGCTACGCAGCGAGTGCCTGAAGAGCTGGTCGATCGTTTTGCCGGTCGAGGAGTTGGCTTCGCTGGGAGGCAAGTTGCGCGGGTTCCGGGACGCCATTCAACTGAGGCGGCACTCTTTGGGGTACATTTTCGCCAACGGGACCTCGAGCAGTCGGCAGGTTTTCGATTTCGAGGTTTTCAAGCAGGTCTTTCCCGGTGTACCTCTGGTCACGATCTACGGAAATCGGCAGTTTGGACTGAACACTCTCAGTCCGAGTGAGTCACACATTATCTTTTATTACCATTTCGATGTTCGAAGTAGCGAAAACACAAACGTATGTTATCTTCAATTGCATTGCAGAGAAGGAACACGGTATGGTGCACAGCAGCTCGATAGTCTTCATGATCTTAACTTACGAATTCACCGAGGACGAAGTGAAATCAACGCTGTTGTAAAAAACCGAAACGTCTGTATCACTGAGAAAAAAAAATGAAACAGTGTATCGAATGCAAGTTAGAAAAAAAAATAATTATCCTTTTCAACAGTAAAAATTATCGTATTAACAGTTAAAATTATGGTTCGAAAAGTAAAAATCATGTTTAGAACAGTAAAAATTTGTAACGCGGGTTAAGTAAAATTCATTAACCGGTCCTTTTAAGGTTTACTGTTCCAGCATAGTAATTTTTACTGTTCTAAACATGTTTTTTACTTTTCGAACCATAATTTTAACTGTCAAAACAATAATCTTTACTACCGTAAATATTAATTTTTTTCCTGTTTTGCCAACTTACATTCGATTTATTCTGTGGACTGGTGATATTTGCTGGAATTTCTCTACAATTTTTATTATTTTTTTTCTCTCGGTGTACTCTGTAATTGCCAATGCAAGTGCAGTATACTGTTTAGGGCCAAAATCTTGCAATTGTTGAACACGTATCCATGATGTACATGTATGCCAAAAAACTCATGATCCGATGTAGAAAAGATCCGAAAGGATAAAAGAGCGACGGCGTTACCAAATTCACCGTCTGTTCACTTACTTTTTTTTCGTTTATTTCGGAGACGTCGAAAGATACCGTACGCTGAGCCCTCGCGCTTGGGCAACGGTGATAAATAACGATGATCTACTCGACTCGGGAGGTATCTCGACCATCACGCGAACTTTGAAAATCGACGGAAAAATAATGCCCGTCGTCTGTATGGAGCGGGGGGCCCCGATGCCTAATTATCCCCAAACAGATGGCCGATTACGTATTTCACAGCCGAGAGAGCAAGGATGTGCACGTAATTTCTTTTGTCTGGGCAAAAGACGCTTGCGCTCACGACGTATCGTGCCACGGGGTCTTTATACCATTGTACACATCGGGTGTACAGGCATCATTCGTGTGCGATAAATTTGCTGATAGCGATTGCGCGATCTCGTGTATGTATGATAGTAATCCTTTTTGCGCGATGATGTATCGGCGAGTGCCATGTATGTAGCTGTTGCGGCTGTAAACAACGTGGTAATGGAGCACTGGGTTATTGTTCCTCACTGGGTAATGCACGTGACTCGATGAAATACGTAGCATAAATAACGCGACACTCAAAAAATACGTCATTAGTATCATGAATTGATGTACCCCTCTAAATTTTTAACCATATACCATACAGACACGCGCAAGCTATACGTCATATACAAACTTGTGAATTTTTCACACTTTCAAGATTTCTTAATGTAAGTACACAGGTATTATTATTTGCGCGCAATAGCTAGGTGCACTATTGTCTCAACTGTCGACTGTCAAAGTGACTCGATTACCGCGAAAATTACAGTGTCGAGTTGGTCGAAAAAACTTAAAATGAAAAAATGGCCGATTTTTTAATTGGAAGTTAAAAGGACAAATTGCTCTGTTATATAAAGTTGTAAAATAATAAAATTAAGCACAAAAATACTCACGAATTAAACAACAAAGTTCGAAACAAGAAGCCAAAACTCTATGTCTCTTAACGGTGTAAGGACCCATCGTTGTGGTTGACACCACTTCCCTCACTACTCCCATTTTTTTAACCAACCTTTCCTCCCCTCTACCCCGTATACACACTGCACCACGATCCATTCGCAAAAAATATATGCCAGCTACAGTCTCCTTTTTCTCTCTCTCTCTCTTTGTCTCTCCAAACCCATTGTGTCCATATATACGTGTATGTTGTATGTCCCTGTGATTGGTCCTTTTCGCCCGGGAGCTGACTATGCGTGCCAAACTCTGGGTATAATAATGTAACTTACATCTCTTTCTCTCGAGCGAGCGCCTCTGTTTTTTTTTTTTTTTTTTTTTTTTTTTTTTTTTTGCTCGCTCGTTTGTCTCTCGTGTTGTGTTGCGCGCACCACCTCTTCTCCCTCTCTGTCTCTCTTTTGCGATGTGGACTTACTTCTTCGAGTTCCATTGTCGATTCGACGCGCGCGGTTGGTTAAGCTGTCGATTACACGAAGAGGGAGAATAATTATATAATAGACTGCCTGTATAACGTATGCGGTATACAATACGAGCTCGATTTTATATGACAACGAGGAGGACTATCCAACATTTGCACATGAGTGTATGCGTATGTGCTTTGCTTCAATCTTATACATTCACTTGGGTTAAATTATACGTAGATCGAATTCATGTTTATTATAACGTACACTTTTTACTTTAATGGTGAATTTGACCATGAATATAAAGGATATTTATACTTTGATGATGATAGCAGCAATCATAATGATAATTCCAGATTTTCGTAAGTATACCATGCCTCTGTATCAATCAAAAAACTGTATATGTATGAGCAACTACCTTGCACGCACGGCCTAATGTTAGTGAGGAAAAAACTTAACGTAATCGAAGACAAGGATCCGATCGGAGAGAGAAATCAACGCTACTTCTTTTTCATACGCGTAATACAATGTACTAGCGTTCTGTGTGCGGATGGAACGAGATTTCACGTGATATGCTTAATGGTCAATGAGTAAGGATTTTTCTTTTTCACGCTTCCATATTTATACGTGTACAAGTGTACCACCTAAATAAATACGTTTGTACTCAAGCGTGGAGAAAAAAAATTGATTGAAGAATAGACGAGATAATTAACATTATAATATATATATATAGGGTAAGAGAGAGCCGTTGGGCGTGTTAACTATGTACACGGTTTAATCTGAATCATACTGGTCTTTTTTTTTCGGGCACACTTTATTTTAAACGTAAGTACATACGAAACCGGATCATCAATGATGTAGCAAAAGGCAATCGCTCCATCAATTTTATGTACGTATAAGGGATTAATTGAGAGATTCGCTTGAAAAGAAAAAAGAAAAAAATAACTTCCAATTAAGAGAATTTTTTTAAGTATACGTCACTTTTTGGAGCCACAGAATTGTATATTTCACGTTTTTTTGGTAAAACATGGACAAATTTGTATTTTTTAAATTATGCATGCTTCGGTTCTCATCATTATGCAGATTCCAAAAAACAGTATATTACTCACCTAAGGAGGAAATATAAAGAATGTCTCAGATCGCAGGCAATTGACGATAAGCATGCGATCTGAGGGATTCTTTGTTTCCTCCCGTGGGTTGTATACGATTTTTTATCAATCCTGCGCCAAGTTCCTACTTTCGGCGCAGTATGATGAAAATTCTATAACTTGGAGACGATTCATCATTATCTTTGTATCTAAAATTTTTTTGACATACCTCGGTTATTTTTGATCCACGAGTATCCCCAATTTCCAAAATCGCTTGGTGTATACGTGAAAAAAAACCCTCGTCCTGAAATTACGGAAATACAAAAAATGACCCAATTTCGCAGGTGATTCCGAACGAGAGGATTTATATGTTTTCTCGTATACATGTCCAGCTCTCTCCCACCTCGTTCAACACCAGCAGAGGCATTAACACTTCCAACGACCCTTTTATACCAGTTACAAAAGAAAAAAAAAAAAAAAAAAAAAAAAAAAAAAAAATTACACGTTCACGTAGACGAAAAAAGGATTGAGGAGGGTCGGCAGAAAGAGAGAGTCGAAAAGGGGAGTTGGGGGGGGGGAGGGTTATTCGGACGAATGTTATCGAAAGAGCGTCAAAGGGAAGCAGGGCTTTGATTGATCGCTCGACTGATTGATCGATGGCTCGATGACAATATTTTTTAATTGCCGTAATGCATTTATAACGACGCGATTGACATTAATATTACTTCCACCGGAGTCCCCAGAGTCAGAAAATCCAACCCTGAAACTCGCACCGAGTATATACCTACAACTTACGTGTACCCTA